TTGAAGTAGCCATCTTGAATTAGATCCTCAATTTGGCGCTTCAACTCCCAGCAGTCCGACGTGTTATGGCCGTGCTCCCGATGGAAGCGGCAATACTTGTCCTTGCTGCACCTTTCCGGGGCTCCCCGAAGCTTCTCAGGACGCTTGAGTAGTTTTTCCATTCCAGACTCCTCGATGTTCGTTAGGATCTCGGAAATTGGAATCGTGGTCGGGGTGAAGCGTTCGTAAGGTCGGCTCCTGGTAGGCCCGTTCTCTGCCCTTCGATACTCAGCTCGGCCGCTGGAAAAGGATCCCTTGTCCTTGGACTTGGGATCTGCCTTTTCTATATCTTTTCTACTTCTGCCCCGGCTGATCTTTCGTTCTGGTCGGTCGGTTTTGGTTCGGAGGAGCTCCTGCCCATCGATGACTTTCTTCGCCTTCTGAAGCACCTCGGCGAAGGTGGCCTGGGCCTCTTCTCCAAGTTTCACCGTGAGGGCTTCGTCTGCTAGACCGGTGAGAAAATAGCACATGGCCGAGTCATCGGAGCAGTGTGCGACCTTCAACTGCTCCTCCTGAAATCTGGTGACATATTCTCGCAGCGTCTCACCCTCCTTTTGTCTGATGGTGGCGAGATGGGTCGCTGTCTTTTTGTCATAATGCCGAGAAAAGAACTGTGCAAGGAACTCCCCTCTCAGCTGAGAGCAGGTCGAGATCGACCTGACTGGCAGTCTCCGATACCACAATCGCGCGCTGCCAGTAAGCGCGATCTGAAAGGCGCGRCATTTGATTGCGTCTGATCCCATGAGGCCTTCAAAGACCTCAACATAATCCTTGGGGTCCTTCGACCCATCATAAGGCTTCACGGTAGGAGCTTTGAACTTCGGAGGGATCGGTGCTTCCAAAACGTCCGAGGTGAAGGACGATTCTCCCAAGTCGCCATCGTTCAGCGAACCTTCTTTCTGCTCACATTTGGCCTTTAAGGCCTCCACCTGAGCGTCGAGCTGGCCCCTCAGCTGGTCGAACTCCTCCCTTGTAATCACTCCTGCAGGAGTTGCTGGGTTGTGAGAGGATTCAGCCTGCTGGTTGGAGCTCCGGTGTGAGCGGGATGGTGACTGTCCTTTTCGGAGAGATGAGCCTCTCTTCCTGTTGAGATGCTCACGGAGGTCTCCCCTCCGGCGAGTGTGTCCCTCGCTTTCGTTGTCTCCGGGATGTTCCTCCTCGACTGGGCCGAGGTGGGAACCCCTTTGCTCGCGTATGTCAATGCGCGTCATTCGATTTTCAGATCGGGACCCTGCGCCTGCAGCTAGTATCATCTCGTTATACATTTCCTCCATGGACCGCATTTGTGTGCGCATTGCCTCCATTTCTCTCTGGAGTGCGTCAAAGTTTTCACTTGTTGGAGCCGGGGCTGGACCC